AATATTTGAAGATGAAACTATTCAAGTAAAATCAAAACAAAAAAAAAAGACAAAAATAATTTTTTTTATCTTTGTCTAGTGTATGGTTTTAAATGCTGATAGTCAATATCCAGTTATTGGTGGTGATCGAGGTTTTGTACAAATCATTCGAACACATGATTTACAACCTGTTTATGCTTATCCACAATGTGATGCTAGTATTCGTTCATTAGCAATAACTCATGATCAAAAGTAAAAACAAATATATATATTTCTTTGTTTAATTTAGATATATCATGGCAGGTCTTTCTACAGGTTGTTTGATTGTATTTAATGTTAATTTTAATGTTCTTAATCAACCTCGACGTGATTTTGGAACGCCTACTGCAAATGTTTAATAAAAAATGTTTTCTGTTTGTTTTTGTTTTTCGTAGTGTAATTGTTTTTTGACTATTAATATTTTAATACATTTTTTTTCCTCTGCGCTTTCATTTGAGGCTTTTTTTTTCTTATAGACATTCCAAATTCCTTGCGTTTATATGGTTCTTTATAAAAGAAAAGATCCATGGTTTCATTTTTGTTTTGAATAGGTGAGAACGGCTGCTACATCAAGTAGTATTTTTTGTTTTTGTTTTTGTGTTTGATTTGTTGGGTGGGAAATAAGAAAGCCCCAGTGATATTCATTTTGTTGTTGGTGTTAATCGTATTTATCTAGCTTAATTTGTAACGTGCATGCTTAAAAAAAAAAGATAAAAATCTTTAACAATATCACGATCTTAAATATTTCATTTGTCTGTGCATTTTTCTTTTTACTTATGCTTATAAACGGAGTTCACCGCATTCCTTTTTTTGTTCTTATGTTTCTTAAGCTTCAAAAAAAATAATAAAGCAATTCAATAACTATTCATATACTTCGCACATAAAATAAAGAATTATTTGCAATAATCAAATAGTTATCTGTATAATTGGTTTTAGATTATTCTGATAAATTGACAAGTTAAAGAATGACAGCAGCAACTGGTAAATGAATTTATAAATAGTAAATTATTGAAAAACTTTGTATCTACAAAGAACTAATGAATCAATCCTTTTGCCGCAGCAGACCTTCCCCTAACCGAGAACTCGACTTTTGGTTTAAGAGTTATGAGATACGTTATATTAGCAAGTTTTTTGTATAGAACAGAAGGTGAGATTGTTCCTTACAAAATTATATCAGAATAAAAAGTTTGAGAACCAATTTGCAGACTTAGACGAAGCCGGTTCATAACTCTTAAACAATGTTGTTAAATTACTTTTCAATAACTTATTTGTAAATCCAATGATAAATTCAAAGAAGAATCTATAAAATATATGCTTCTATAAAGGTGACCAAAAGAAACAATACGTGCTTGTACCTGGTGATGCTGGTTTTATTGGTAGTCATTGTGTTATTGAATTGATTACAGCTGGTTATGCACCAATTATAGTAGATAATGAACATAATTCATCAGCAGGTGAAATTAAAAAAATATCAAATAGAAAATTTGATTCTATTTAGAAAAAAAATTTTTTTTTAGAATGTTTAAAGCGTGTTGAACGAATTACTGGATGTCAAATAATTAATTATAAAATTGATTGTCTTGATATTGAAAATTTACGAAATATTTTTAAAAAATATTTAATTTATGCAATAATTAATTGTGCTGCACTTAAATCAGTTGGTGAATCAGTACAAAAACCAATTTTATATTATAAAAATAATATTGGTTGTTTACTTAATTTACTTACAGTAATTGTTTTTGTAATTATTAAATAAAAATATATTTATTTGAATATTATTTAGTGTATGGAAGAATTTAATGTTAAAAATTTTCTTTTTTCATCATCAGCTACTGTCTATGGTACACCGAAATATTTACCACTTGATGAAAAACATCCATGTATTGGTGATGCTATTACTAATCCATATGGTAAAAGTAAATATATATGTGAACATATTCTTAAAGATACAATAGTTGCTCATGCTGTTCGTATTTTAAAATTAAAATAATCTATTCTTTTTTGTTTTTTTATTGTTGTTAATTTATTTGGGAATGGAATATCATTATTTTACGTTATTTTAATCCTGTTGGTGCTCATAAAACAGGTTTAATTGGTGAAGATCCTATTGGTAAACGAAATAATCTTATGCCATATATTGCACAAGTAGCTGTTGGTCGTTTACCATATGTTAATATTTTTGGTACTGATTATGATACTTCAGATGGTACAGGTAAACATAAGCAAATAAATATAATTTATCATCTTATCATTAAAAAACTATTGAATATGTATAGGTGTTCGAGAGTATATACATGTTGTTGATGTAGCTATAGGTCATATTGCAGCAATGAAACAATTTGAAATGAATTGTGGTTTAAAAGTTAGTAATAGATAATGATTTAAATTTTTTTTTTTATTCTTTCTTATTTAGATTTATAATCTTGGTACTGGTAAAGGTTATTCTGTATTAGAAATGATTAAAGCATTAGAAAAAGTATCAGGCAAAATAATATCTTATAAAGAATGTTCTCGACGTCCAGGTGATCTTGCAACTGTTTGTTTATGCTGATCCAACATTAGCAACTCAAGAACTTGGATGGGCAGCTCAACGAAATTTAGATGAAATGTGTAAATAAGTTTTTATTCTTAAGTACAGATTTAAAATTATATTTTTCTTTTATAGACGAAGATTTGTGGCGTTGGCAATCGGAGAATCCAAATGGATTTCAATAGAATCTCATACCTAGTATTAATTTAATACATCTGTAGAAGTTATATTTAAAAAAAAAGAGAATCTCTTTCTATCTATAAACGCATTTAGTCAATATTTACATCTACTTATTTATGATGTTTTAGATGAGTAATATTTACATTCAAGAGCCAGCTACTCGTGGCAAAGTTGTTTTAGATACAACTGTTGGTGATATTGAAATTGTACGCAATTTTGTGTCTTTCTTTTTTTTTTTACAAACGGCACTACAAAAGTTTTTTTTTCATCAAGTCTTTGTTCTAGATGTTCGATCAACATATAATTTCATATGATTTTGTACACCGAATCCCTTTAGTCTTCTTATTTTGTATTTTTAATAACTAGAACATTGAACTTATTATGAAATATCCAATCTCAATCCTAACCTGTTCACCTATGTAACTAATCGAAATGAAATAGAAGAATAAGATATTTTAGAAAGTTTAGAAGTTCAACAATTGATCTCAATGCACAACATTTAGGAAAGTCGGACGAATCAAAAAAAACACTTTTGTAGTGCCCTATATAATAAATGTGAAATAGTAATATGTTTTTTTTTTTGTTTTTTAGGAACTTTTCTCCAAAGAATGCCCATTATGGTTATTATGATGATACAGTTTTTCATCGAGTTGTACCAAATTTTATTGCACAAGCTGGTGATCCAACTGGAACAGGTGAAGGACGTGAATCAGCAACTGGTGAATTCTTTGCAGTAAATCATAAATTAAATTAAATTTTATTTTGTTTCTATATAAAAAAAAACAAAAAAACTTTAGGATGAATTTCATACACGTGTACGTTTTAATTGTCGTGTTCTTGTTGGTATGGTTAATCAAGGACCAAATACTAATGCTAGTCAATTCTTTTTTACTTTGGATAGTACTCCAGAACTTGATAAAAAGAATACATTATTTGGCAAAGTTGTTGGTAATACATTATTTAAGATGTTGAAATTAGGTGAAGGAGAAATCATTGGTGAAATACCAGTACATAAACATAAAATAATTAAAGCAGAAGTAAAAAAAATGAGAGAAAGATTTATAGTTTTAAAAGATTATATTTTATATGTATATAGATATTATCAAATCCATTTGATAATATGATATCTCGACCTCAAGCTAAATCACAAATGATTGATGATGATAATGATGAAATAAATAAAAAGTCGAAAGAAACTGTACAGGCTAAAGCAATCAAGTAGAATTTTTCTATGAAGTTAAAACAAGAATTTGAAATTCTTTGTTTTTTTTATAATTAGAAATTATGGTCTTCTTTCATTTGGAAATGAAGCTGAAGAAGAAATAACAAAAATTTCAATGGTATAGATATATTTCATTTGTCTTTTTTTGTTTTTTCCTTTCGTAATTTAATATTTCTATAGACATTCAAACAAAAAGGAACAGGAAAAAGTGCACATGATTTAACTAATGATTCAACATTAAGTAAAAATACAGTTGTATTAAATGAAAATAATGAAGAAAGTGATGCAGATTTTGATAAAGAAGAACTTGATCGAGTACGACAAAAATTTAATGCAAAAAAATTAGCTCAACAAGAAAAGAAAAAAACACTTCAACTTGATATTGATGATGATGATGATAATCAAAAAGAATTTCATCAACAAAATCGTAAATATCAAATACAACAAAAATATTTTGATTGATTTAGTATTGTCTTTTTTTTTGATAGAAATGAAAATGTTAAACTTGAAATTGAACGATTAAAAAAAGAATTAAAACAAACAAAAAAGTCATCATCAGCATCCACACCCAAATCATCAGAAAATGTCGTTCAAGTAGAAACAGAACGTAAGTATTCTTTAATGATATTTAGTATATCCTAAGAATTCCAGTTTGAACGGATAAATCCATTCGAAAGTATTGAACTTTTTTTCGGTCTTACCAAGATCTATGTCATATTTCAAGGATGCATGAGGATATTCATCCTATTTTTAACTGACAATCATATTTTATGAGTTTATTTCAAATTTAGCTGCACCCTCATCTATTCAACCAGTTACCTCAAGTACTACTACATTAATGGATGAATTAATGGCAGGTACAAGACGAAACAATAAAAAAAATCATAGTAGTCATTCAAATTCAAGAGAATCTCAAGCTTGTTCATCAGTTATTTTTGTACTGAATAAAATATTCGAATTTAATTTTTTAGACACTTGATTTATTAGAAAGATTTCGTGTAAAAGTTCATACTGCTAAAGATGAACAAACTAGTGAACCTTTAAATGAAACACAATCAAAACAAATAGCTGATAAAGTTCAAACACCATTTTTAAAACATACTTTTGTATCTCAAGAATTATTAGATAATGTTCAAGATATTTATACGAATGCTGAATTATTAACTGTTTATGATCCAAAAAATCCAATGACTAAACGACGACGAGATGAAAGTAGTATGTTACTTCATCAAAAAAAACATAAAGGACATACATAAAACAATGTTGTTGTTGTTTTGTTCATCTGTGTATTATGTAATTTCTTTTCTTGATGATATAAAATAAATCGTTCCATAAAAAATATCATAAAAAGAAAGGAATTATTTTTCTTTATTCTATTCAGATAAATTATGCAACATTCATGTTCACATACATGTCAACATGTTGATGAAACAAATGTTGGTCAATGGAATTTATATACAAAAATTGATAAATATAATTTACAATGTTATAATGAAAAACATGATGGTTCAGGTAAAGATGTATTTCGAGCATGGGAAGAACGACTTGATCGATCAAAATTATATTTTGTATTTGATTTATTCAAATAAAATATTATAGATAGGTTTTTTTTTAAAGGTAGTTGAAAGTGATGATGAACAAGAATTACTTTTCAGTATACCATTTAATGGTGCTCTAAAAATAACTGGTCTATGTGTTATTGGTGAAAATGATCCATCACATCCAAATACAGTTAAATTATATGTGGATATATCTTCTTCTACATGCAATAATGTTCAGTGTCTGTCTGTCTGTCTGTTTCTCTGTGCCGGGTCAAAGGTCAAAGGTCAAATAAGACTCTAAGGGAGAGATCTCTAGGGCCTATTTTATGGGGTACTTATAGATCCTCACGGGTTATCCTATGGGAGTACCCATAGGTTCTCCAGAGCTATCCTAAGAGGGTACCTATAGGTCCTCCAGGGCTATTCTATGAGGGTATCCATAGGTCCTCAAGGGCTATGCTAAGACGGTACCCATAGGTCCTCCAGGGCTATCCTATGGGGGTACCTATACCTCCTCCAAGGCTCATCTATCAGGTACCCACAAGTTCCCAAGTGCTATCCTATGGGGGTAGCCATAGGTCCTCCAGGGCTACCCTACGGGAGAACGCATAGGTCCTCCAGGGCTGCCCTATGTGGATACCCATAGCTCCCAAGTGCTATCCTATGGGGGTACCTAAAGGT